AAATTTACCTGTTTGTATGTACCCTGTTTTCTTCGCCTGAAGCGATGGTGACACCTTCCCCTAACTTACACAGGGAGACGTCAGAAATTAAATGGTCACTAAACTACTATTTTAGGGATACACAGCCCACAGAAATGTTTCTCATCGATCAGAAAACCCTCTCACATGAACTGGATGGCAGTTCTAAGGTTAACGGTCTGCCCTGAAAACCAGAGGTTCAAGCAGAACCTTCCTGGGTTTTAGAACATTCATTCTGCCGCGGGGAACAGAGTTGCCAATGCAAGTTAGCAGCAGCCTGGGGGCAGATGGAGAGAACTGAGGGCTCTAGGACGCGTGTTGAACCAAGGAGGGTGGTCCAGGCTGTCAGGGGGTTGAGAGGGACGCCGGTCCTCGCGCGCACCCTGGGGGAGTCCAGGGCAGAGGCCAGGGAAGGTGTGTCCGGAGCGGCCAAGCTGCCTTCTAGGTCCGCGAGTGAGAGTGAGCGAGTCCGCGGGCACCGGGAGCGAGGAGCTCCGGAGGCGGGAAGCCAGATCGGTCCCTTACCGTGCGCTGGGCACGTCCACCGGTCCCAGGCCGCCGCTGCCGCCGCCGGGGCCGGCGAGCACGTCCCCACTGTATTTCTCCTCCATCCCGGGGCTCAGGAGACGCCGCCGCCGCCGCTGCCCTTGCCGCGGGGTCTCCTCATGTCTCGCCGCTGCAGCGGAACAGCAGACGCAGGGACGTCACTCTCCCATGGCAGCGGCCTCCTTGGTTGCCCGCGCAGGCCAAGCCGCCGCTGCCGTTGTCCCTGAAACCGGCTCACAAACACACGCACGCCGGGCTAGGCCGCAGGCAGTTCCGGCTGCACCGGGTTCCCCGGAGTCGCACCGGAGCGGACGTTGCCAGGCCACGTCATCGGGCCCAGCAGCCCTCACTCCCGGGGGAGTGCCCAGCTCCGCGCCTGCGCACAACAGAATTCTCGCTTTCCCAGGCCCTTCCTTAGGTCCCTCCCACCGCGGTGAAGGATCCAATCCTCGCCCCCTTTCAGCACCTCCCCTACGCGCTTACCTGTCCCTGCAGCGCCACCTATAGAGGACCAGGCCTTATTAGGGTTATTTTTCTGTTGCTAAAAGCTTAGGAAACTTGTCTCCTGTGTTTGTCTTGGTTTGAATACCAACCCTGCCACTTAATAATTGTGTAACTTGGATTTTGTGTACTTCAATTTTATAACCTGTAAAATAGAAATAGTAATACCTGTATCATAGGTTTGTTGGGAGGATTATATATGTTAATATGTGAAAACTGTCTAGAACAGTGAATGGTATATTGTAATAAATGTTAGCTGTTAGCTTTATTAATACTCATAAAGAAATTGGAGGACTGGGATTTGGAGATGAAAATGGACCTTGGGGCTGTGTAAATTATGATTAATTTACAATACTTAATCATGAAGAGTCTTAGTACCATATAAAAGAATGAGGAATCACAGCCGGCTGGGGCTTCATAATGTATTGTGAAAAATACTTANAAAAAGGTAGGGAGAGAAAAAACAGATCAAGAAAAAATAGATAGAGGTACAGTAAAAATCACAGCAATCTTGGAATTCTTGATGTTAGCAAAGAGCCTTGAGGCTATTTAGCCATTCTTGAAATGTTTCTTGCACACCTACTATATGCTAGATGCCATATGCGCCAATGAGACCGAAGGCAAGTCTGTCAGGGAGGCTTCAAGTACCGCCTTCCTTCTTCCTGATAAAAGGGCAAGACGTAGCTAGAACTATTTCTTTCATGTTCTTTCTGCCTTCAAAGGAGGACTTTTATCTAAAACTTTTCTAAAAAATGTTATTCATTTTATAACAAGCCTGAATATGAAAGCCACAATTAGGATAGCAGAGAGTAAAGACAAAGAATCTGGTCCCAGATGGTATCACTGAGGGGCTGAACAAATACCAGCAAACTGGTTTCTTTGATGTAAGAATATATCTCTATTTGTTTAAAGCTTTCTTAGTTTGGTTACTTACAACTAAATGCATTTCCAGGTGCTGTCCGAGACACTAACTAAATGCATAATAGAGACCTTGCCCCCAAGTAATTGAGGTCTAAGAAAGACAGGCAAGAAAACAAGTATTTATGTGACCCAGGTAAGTAAGCGAGTTCTAAAGGATTAGATGTGGAACTAGATAACTGTTAACTAAGGAAGCAAAGGTCATCTTCAGAGTTTGAGGTGTGTAAGTGTATAATAAGGACATAAGTAGGAATTACAAAACAAGGAAAAGGAAAGGGTATTTCAAAGTACAGAGAGCAGCATATGCAAAATGTTAGCACTAGGAAGGAGCTTTTAAAGAAATTACTGTATTTAAGTTCAGTTCACCATATTATGCTCAAAATAACCAAGTTACCCCAAAAAAGGGTAAATTACATTGAATATACTTGTTTTAAGAAGATGGGGGCAATATATAAAATTATTTCTAAATAATTTTTGTTTAAAGTATTAACAAAACTAAAAATTTGGCACTTTCATGGCAAGATTTAGTCATATAGAACATTAAGTAAAATACTTCTTGGGCCGGGCGAGTTGGTTAAGAGTTGGCTTGGGGGGGGGGATTGGCTTGGGATGCCAGCTCTGAGCAGCAGGACCCCGGTTTGGATCCCACATGCGGGCCAGTGACGCTGCCCTCTACAGCTAAGATGGTGAACAACAGCTCAACCTGGAGCTGGGCTGTTGTGTCACTAGTGACGGCGTAGGCTGCAGTCCCTGCTGCAGTGGGCTGCCATGAGCTACCGTGAGTGGCTGGCAGCCAGCATGAGTGGCCAGCAGCCGGCGTGAGCCGCTGTGAGCGGCTGTCCAATGGCCAGTGACCGATCTGCCTCAGCCGGGAAGAGCACAATGATCACAATACCAACGTGGGCCAGTGAAGCAATGTCTTCCACAACTAGACTGAAGAACAAAAAGGACAGCAACTTGTCTGCTCCCCTTCCCCTATTCCCCAACGCTGTTCCCCTCCCCCAATTCCCCAATAAAATCTATTAAAAAAAAAGCATACTTCTTGATAATATCACTATTATGATCTTTCTGACACTAATTTTATTTCCTTTTTAATTAAAAAGAAAACAGAGATTATAAAAGTAATTCCTGAGTAGATGGTTGTTATGAAAGTTTTAAATAATTCCCAATTTCCTCCTCATAAGTGATCAAGTGGGTACATACATCCTTCCAAACCTTTTCCTTGGCATTTCCACATATGGACACACATGTATTTTAGATACATTCACATATTCACAATTGTACATTTTGATATTGCTATTTGACTTTTAACATAATATATATTGAAGATCTTTTATTAGCACATTAAATTAGAAAATTTACTAATTTCAAAAGTTAGATACTTTGATTTCTAAAGTCTCCATTAATGAAGTCTTCCTGTTGGGCTAAACATGACACACTATCTTTAGTAACCATACAGGAGTAAGCAGACATTCCTAGTTCATGTTGCAGAGAGAAACAATGAACAGCTTCATTTACTACGGGGTAAAGAAAAACGGAGGCTCTTGGAATAGGGCAGTGGCCCTTGAGCCACTCACTGACTCTCTGGGCAACTGAAAGGGAACCGATCCACCTCCCCATCTTATAAATCATTTGTCATTAACTAGTCTCATCAAAGATACCACTAGTCTTTTGTGTGAAGGGTTAGAAAAATCTCTGGTTCTGTAAGGCAGAATTACTGAAATTTGGGTTTGGGTTCACACCTGCTTCTTGGGCTTTGCTCACTGCAGCAGCTCTCAGTTCTCCAATTAAAAACAAAACAAAACACAACAAAATCAGTGTGTATAATTCAAATATGATTCATTCAATAAATATTCAAGTGTCTACTATGTAGAAGGCACTATGCATGGGGTTTGGGATAACTGGTTCCCAGTTCAGTTATTTGTTGTGGGATCTTGGNTGGAGAATAATACTTATTTTAATAAGGCTCCCATTGCAACATTTTGGGAACTCTTCTTTTGTAATTGCCTTCTGAACTAGTTCACAAACCAGAAAACAATAGGAGTCTCAATATATTTTCACACTTTGAAATACCAAAAAAAATCATTCCAATCATCTCTAAAATTTAGTAATAACAAATCTTGAAATAATATAATAAAAATGAAGAAAGTACTGATTATGTACCTACCTTTCACATTTCCAAAATAGTTATATAAAAATGCATACAAATGATGCTTAAAATTTCCTAGTCAAGAATCACTTTCCATAATTACTGAAAGTATACACCCAGGAGTCTTTAACAGATTTTAATTCACAGAGAAGGTGGTCACTATTAATCTCAAGGTCCAGAGAGTCTTTAGAGAGAATTTCTTACTATATGCAGAATAATGTAAAATTTATACTATATGAGGACCCTGTAGAGTACAGAGACCAAATATTCAATGTAGTCCAGCATGGTTTAACTTAGAAAATAAGAAACGTCTGTACCAAGACAGGTCTCAGGTGACATTCTATGCTTGCTGGAAGGTTGGACTACACCAGTGTTATGGTCTAGGAATCCCTAGGGCCCGAGACCCTTTCAGGGAGTCTGTGAGGTCAAAGCTATTTTCATTAAAATTACTAAGACATTATGTGCCCTTTTCACTCTTACTATCTCAGAGGTGGAGCTTTTTAGAGGCTAGCTGATGTGAGATGATGCAACAGGTGGAATGCTAAAGCAGATATGAAAATCCAGTTGTCTTCTATTAAACCAGAAATGTGCAAAAAAGTCTCATTAACATAAATTAAGGTAAAAGTCTATGCTTTGGCAAGCTATCAGAGTAAAACAATCCTTTTTTTTTTTTTTTTAAAAACCTATCTCTTTGTATAGCTAACCTTAGGTATACTAAGGTTTTTGTTTTTTTTAATTTACCAAATACTTATGAGGAAGAATACATTACACAAAATATTCTATGTAAAATTCCTAAAGATACTCAGTTAAAACAGGATTTTCCAAGAAATAAGAAACATTAAGGAAAAAAAGAAGCATACACACTCACCCGAGTTTTAATATAAAAATGAACTGAACAATGTGAACTACTTTTAGGAGATCATATGATTCAAAAAGTCCCACAGCCTTCAAAAATTTAGTGAAACACAGTAACACAATATATTTTGTTAATCTGAAAAATAAAAGCAGAAACAAGTTTCAGTATCATTGAAATCACAAGGAACTCTTTAGTCTTTGTTTTTTTCTTATTATACAAGTAATAGGGTTCATTATATGAACCACAAGTATACATAAAAAATGAAACAAAAACCCAAACAAGGGAAGTTGAAGCCCACAGTTAGCTAGCGTCAGCCTCAGGTCTTTTAAGTATGCTCTCTTTAATATGTCACAGAAAAAAATCAAAGTTCATCCAAAAGACTTTGAAGGTTCCCATCTTCTAAACTGTTTCCAATTATACATTCACACTGGCCCACATGAACAGTAAAATCATCTTTAAATGTGAAAGAAAAAAAGCATATTAAAGTCTAAGATTAAGTTAGATTTTGGCCCATTTGAGCTAGAGAAAAAAGAAATATAGACGTAAGTAAATTAAATATATTAATGCTAATAAATACTCTGGTCATGGTAGCAATTCATAAGTAGCCAATAAAAATAATAGTTGAGCTAGAAATCCTTTGTTTATTCAGCTCCTAACATAGGGACTTGCATAATATGTATTTGGCAAATACTTACCAAATGAAAGAATGCTAACTCTACATTATACTTGTGTGATACAGAAATGTCTAGCACAGCAATATATATAGTGCAGCAATATAGTAC